CTGTACTCTGCTGGGGGTACAGGGTCAACCCATGCAAAAGGAGCAGTTGTGTGTGCCTGCAAGAGTCAGGCATGCGGTGCTGACTGCGTGCTTGGGAATTTGGTCCAGAGTCCCCTGGGAGGAACAGCGTAGCCGCAGAGTGGGTTGGCACTTACACAGGACTTTGAAGATGGGGACTTCTTTGCCAGGAGGAGAATTCAAAAGGGTAAGGGCATAGGGGAGAATTAACCTGATGTGAGGACAGGAGGTGAGAGGAGGGGAGGTGGGAGGAGGGGCGGTGGAGCCCAGGAGGATGCAGTGTGCCACACTTGCAGTGGAGAGTGCGCGCCCAGCCCATGAGAGGCGCTGGGTTCCATCCTCAGCGTCACATAAAATAAAATTTWAAAAAAAATACTGTATCCACCTACAACTAAAAAATATTGGGGGGAAAAAGGCCCAGGGTCCAGTACTGTGCATCTCCCCCTGCCCCTTTGCACCGTGGTCCAAGCTCTCTGGTTCTTCTGCCTCCTCTTCAGTGACATGAGGGTGTCATCTCCTGCTCTAGTGACTTTGCAGGTGGGCATAAGGATGGAACAAAACTGCAGAAGTGAGCACCTTTTAGATGGGAAGGGGCCTGCGGCACTGGGCAGTGACATCATCACAGAGCACCTGGGTTGGGGAGAGGGTTGATAGCCAGGAGGACAGCAGGGTTGAGGGTGGCTGTGACAGATACTACTCAAATGGCAGGACCCAGAGGTTTTGCAACCTCTTAAACTAGGGGATTTAATTGTGGGTTAGAGCCAAATTTAACTCTTCATTTTGTCTTTCTGACCAGCTAAACATGCAAAGAAATTTAGGGATGGGGAGGGGGCTAGCTATCCAGTTGCTTTACTCTTTTTTTTGTGTGTGTGTGTGTGTGTGTGTGTGCTCGGAATTGAGCCCATGAACACTCAGTCACTGAGCCACATCCCCAGTCCTTTTTATATTTTATTTTGGGACAGGGCTTCAGTAAGTTGCTGAGGCTGGCCTTGAATTCCCAATCCTCCTGCCTCARCCTCCCAGGCCACTGGGATTACAGACATGTGTCACTGACAAATTGCTCTGCTTTTGCTTTGTAATGTGAACACWCATGCCTTCCCACTTGGGGCAGCTGACCCATGGTACACTGCCAACCTTAGGTTCGTTTTGTATGTGAAGTGGGTTTTGTTGACTTAGGGCCTTTCTTCTGTGAGTGCTGAGTGCTGTGGGGTYAGACCAGAGAAGACTTGGGCAAGTGGTAACACAGCTCGGCCTCAGCGGGTCCAAGTCAAGAGCTTTTGACATGAGGTTCCCCTTTGATAAGTAGCAGAGAGTGTATCTCTCCCATGCCAGAGCAGGACAGCTGGGTCCACGCACTTCAGTGGGGCTCCGGTTGGTGGCTGAGCCTTCAGAGCTCAGCTGCCAGCCTCGGGAGCAGGTGGTACTCCTGGTCTCAGCAAAATCACACACTGTCCAGGGACTCTGCAGGCCCAGCCCAGTCTTCACACATCTTTCAGTCCCTGGCTCTAGAGAGCAGGTGGCCCTCCTGGCTCCAGGAGACAGAGGCCTGGGATACAGATTATAAATTTATAATTTGTAATGTCTGTTCCCTCTTCTGTCCTTGGGTCTCACCTGACAGAGGCTAGAGCATGGTGGCTCTGGCCAGCCCTGTCCTTGAGCATGTGCAGGACAAGGCTGTGTCCTGCAGGGGGCGCCATGCTGTGCTATCGAGAGCCTTGCCCTGCCAGGCTTGGGAGAAAATAAATGTGTGTGGTTTGAAGCCACCCATGGTAGTGATAACTTGTTACAGCAGCCACAGGAACCTAATGCTAAAAGTAGGGAAGGCATTAGAGATGGCTGGACATTGGGGCCTGAGCAACAGGAGTAGGCAGTGCATTTCAGCTGCACAGGGGACATAGAAGGGCAGGTCGCCCTGTCGAGTTGGAGACTTCAGAACATGCTAAAAGAGTCGAGGCCAAGTTCTGCCTGCAGCGTCTTGGGAACATGAGCTGCCTTGTGTCCATCAAGACTCTGGCAAGGCTGCCATGGGGACTTTGGTGTGCAGCTAAGCTCACTGACCCGGAAAGAGAGATTTTTGAGTGGCCCCATTTGCACCCTCCCGGGTCTGTCATGAACTTCATTCCCAGAGATCAGTTTGAGGATTTCATTAGAAATCAGAGTTGGGTTTTTATTTGTTTCTTAAGAAAAACATTTGTCTGCAGTGACTGGCGTCCCTGCCTCCTGGAATGATTCGGGCGACAAGAGTCCTTGAACAGAGGCTGAGTTTGGACTGATCAATGGCATTTGGGGGTTGGAAATTTGCTCGGGAGCCAGCTAATTTATAATGTCATCTGGGCTAGACTGGAAGACCCAAGAGGATAGGCTGTCTCTTGGCTTTTTATTTCATCTTTTTTTAAAAGGAAAAAGAAAACATCAAGTGCCACATCTGAGCATCCAGAGATGGACTCTGCCCCACTAGACCATCAGGGGACTGGGGCTGGTCCTTCTGCCCAAACCTCTTTCTTCCCAAAGACCTTGGCTCCACCGCCATTCCCGTCTCTGTCCTTTGTCACTCTGGATGCCTGYTCCCGCAGTTGCTGCCTTGTGGCTCTAGCTAATTTGCAGAGGACACCTGTTTCTTAATTAGCCCCAGCTCGAGGTCTGCGTCTTCATCTGGCTCCCTCTGATGCGTGAGCTTGCGGCCCGTGGCAGGGCTGCTGTTGGGCGGTCTGCGCGTGTCGGCAGCCACTCAGTGGGCCCTGAGCTTCCCCAGTGGTGCCGCCAATCTGTGCTACTGAGCTTTAAAAGGAAAAGCAGCCAGATCCCAGCCCCTGTCCATGGATTCCACAGCTGTTGGTCACATTTTCCAAAAGACCCTTTGGCTGCAAGTTCCCCTTCTGAGGACAGATCTGCGTCCCCAGGACCCGGCATGAGAACCTAGATGGGGGTCGACTGTCATTCACACTCCGCTAGGTTCTTACACCCCACCACTTGATCTGCTCCTCACGCACAGGTGCTCTTCTACCCTTTGGAGGGGCGTGTGCCTGGTTTCTACATGGGGACGCCCTCAGCGGCTAGGATTGCCTCACTGGGTTTAACAAAATGGGGCTACTGTGTCCTGAGGTGCACTGAGGAGGAGGATGAAGTTGGACAAGGCCTCAGAGTGAGGGTCCCCAAGGGTAGGACGGGGGCACCCTTGGGGATGGTTCTGTTTTCCTCTACCCTGTGTTTATGTGGTGGAACCTTCTGAAAAATAATCCTAAGGCTCTAAGATGAGATCTGACCTCCCCTGTCAACCACCCTTAGAATTCTGACCCCGCATCTGGAGAACTGTGTTTTCAGTGGGAGGCATCCTGGGTCAAAGGTGAGCCACCAAGCCCTGGGCACACCCGGACTCCAGCTTCCCACAGATCACAGTTACTTGGAAACATTTGTGGCAGTGGCTCTGTATTTATTCTTCCACCTGACATCCCCTTCTCCTCCTTCAAGAGAGAAGTTCATCAGTGGAAAGTTCCCCTGAAGTGGTCATTTTCCTAAATGACTGGCTGATGGTGCTGCATACAGACTCGCAGGCCAGAGGTGGCGGCTGTGTGGGCATTAGTGTCCGTGTCCCAGCTCCTGTCCCTGGGCCTGAGAGCCCTTGCCTTTGCCAGGGGAGTCCCTTCTCTGCCTTCCCCGTCACCGCAGCCTCGTGGAAACACGTCTCCTTCCCCTCTCCTGAACGGAAGCAGCGCGGTTCTGAGGCTCCCAGCAGAAAGCCTTCTCCAGTTCTCCCAGCCCTGGTGGCTGCCAGGGTGCCTTCACCCTCCCAACTAATTAGAGCCTTTTCCTTTAAGCGGCACTTGAGTCCTTCAGCCGTTGTTCTCCCAGTGATAATGGACTTGGATAAGAGGTCACAGCTTCTCCCACATCCTGCGCTCCTCACGGTGGGGGCGGGGTGGGCTCACCCCCTTCTGTGGGGCTCCTGCCTGTCTGGCAYGGGGACCAACCCCAGGCTGGGCAGCTGCCACGGATGCACCCCAATCACAAGACCACGAGCCGGCTCCCCACAGGGCCCCCTTCCCACCTTCGCTGGCTGGCTTCAGAGTGTCATCAGCACTAACGTGATCAAATGGCACAGTGTAAATGTTAATCAGGTCTGATGCCTTGCCGGCTTCCGAGTGGCAGATTGGAAATGGCACCATCATCTTAACTCCGAGGAGCAGCTTCTAATTCTTCTGCCCCCCGAGCATCCACTTTGGCAAGGAAAGCCTAACGTGCCCTGGCCCTCCCAGTCTGCCATGCCACAGCCACACTACCCCGGTGGCTTTTGCAAAGAGGGTCCAAATTTCCCACAGAGTTTTCTAACACAGGGTTTATTTTATTTTACTTTAAGTAAAAACACTTACCCTGATGTCCAAAGAGAAGATGACCAAGAGGACTGGTGCTCCAGGCCCCTCCCCTCCCCCAGACTCCCTCCCCTCCCCCAGACTCCCTCCCGAATGCAGGACGTGCTCCTGAGCAAGAAGCCCGGGCGGGCGGCCGCCAGCTCCCGTCCCCCAGCTTTCCCTTCCATTTGCCATGAAAACGTGGCTGATGGACAGCGTCCTGATTAATCCTCTTCTCGCAGCCCTTCAGAAGGGCTGTCCTCTCTACTGTGCTGTCTGCTGGAGCCCGCGTCCCTTCCTCCCTGTGTCCTTTCTTCCCAGTAACAGGGCATGTCTGGTGTTCCTTTGATCCTGATCTTGCTGCCATCTCCTAGCGGATCTGTGCTTGTGGCCAGGGCAGTGCTATAATGTCACCTGGGCCTTGCTCAGAAAGTGCAGTAGTGTCTGAACRTTCTGAGTGAGCGGTGGCAGGGAGGCAGGGCTCTGGGCCTCCTGTCCCACCGCTGGCACTTGGCACTTGCCCACAGTGACCCATTTGAACCCTGGGAGCCTCCACCAGTGCCTGGTGCCCTGGGGTGGGTGGGAGCCATCCCGTCCTCCACTTCCGCTGTCCCTCACCGCTCTTCCCCCACCCAGGCCGTCTTCACTCTCCTCCTGGGACCCTTCACCTTCTTTGACGTCCAGAAGACCAAGTACCTGCAGATCCTGACCTCGCTCATGAGATGGATCGGTGAGTCTGAGGAACCTCTCCATTCTCTGCCCTCCTCCCCTTGTCCCTTCCTCCGCCTCTCTGGAGAGGCTGGGAAAGCTCCCAGCCGTGACTGGAACGTGAAGGTGGCCTCCGTTAACTCAGCCTGCCTGGTCCTCTGACCTGTCCAGAGGGTGAGGAGGAGGCTGGTGTCCTGCCTGACTTTCACTGGTGGGGAAATTTGGTACCAAAAAGGAAAAGTGATTTTTTTGAGGTCACATTGTGTGGCTGGATCTGGGCTAGGACCTGGACTGCGGACACATGGCCAGCCTCCTTCCCAGAATCATGTCGGGTCCCTGCTGACCCACAGGCTGGTGGCAGTGGGCTGCCAAAGGCCTGGTTCAGGCTGTGCCCACTGCAGGGGTCAGAGTGGCACCACCCTGCCTTCTTGTGGGTACCGCATGAGGCAGTCATAAACCCAGGGGGCCAAGGCAGCAGCACTGTGAGGCTCAGAGCCCTGGATCTCAGAGCGTGAAATGACACCCTGTCCACCATGGGTTCTAACCAGCTGACCTTTGAGTAAGAGCTGGAGCACAGGGCTTCCCCTCACCAGCGGGCAGTCGGGAGCTTGTTCACTTCCGCCAGGCCTGCCACCCCCTCAGCAGGTGCCGCTGCTAATGCAGCTGGGCTGAGAGCAGCTGTGGGGCTCCAGCTGCCCACCCCCAGCCTGTGCCCTGGGCATCCGCTGGACACTTGTTTTGCTTTATATAAAAGCAAAGATAAGCCAGGCATGGTGGCTTACGTACAACCCAGCACTCCGGAGGTTAAGGGAAGATGGTTTGAGACCAGCTTAGACAGCAAAACCCTGTCTTGAAGAAGAAAGAAAAAAGAAAAAGGATAAAGGCATTAAAAAATGAAAAACAAAAGCAAAGAAGGCCATCGATGTTCTGTTAGAGAGGTCTCGGGCCCGTGAGTCTACCTGGTCCCCAAGGGCTGCCCTGCCCCTGCATGGGGGTTCCAGAGGGACCCTCTGCCTGTCCTCCTTCCCCACTGTCTTTCCTAGCCCCTTTGCCTCCACATCTGCCCTTCCCCGCATCAGGACTCAGGTGCACGTCCTTGTCCCATGCCAGGACCCAGGTAGATGGGCATTGGTGCTCTGAGGAGGGGTATACCCAAACGACTTCCAGAAATTCTGGCCTCTGTGCTTCCCTCGTCCCCCCAACTCAGTGAGAGCAGCAAGCGCACAGGAGCCCTCATGTCCTCTTCTGGTCAGGCAGCCCTGCCCGCCCCTGGAGGGAGCCCATGGGGAGCAGGCAGCCTCCCAGGCCAGGAGTGTGACAGCAGAAGGCTCCCGCTCTGCTAGGAGGGACCCATGGCAGTGCTGGAAGTTCTTCCTTGACTCTGCTCCAGCCTGCACCTTCTTCCCACTCTTGGTCTGTCCTTGTGAGGACGTGAGAGCAAGGCTGGGATCAGTTCTGAGCCCTGCAGGAGCCCGCTGTTCAGGTGTGAGCCTTCAGCCTCTGGCRCCTTTCATCATCCAGCAAGGAATGGGGGGGAGGGGTTCCTGGTCTTCCCCTGTGAGATCTGGTTCATCCTCACCCTGGGGCTGCTGTCTCCAGTTTTGTCCCCAGGGTTAACATGACCACCTGAGTCATGACAGGAGACAAGAACTTGAACCACAAGGGTCATGTGAGCTTCTGGATAGACCACATGGGGACACAGCCCCTGCAGGACTTGTAATCAGAGGTCAGGGTCAGCAGGGAGCAGAAACGCAGGCCACCCACCCTCCTGCTATTGCTCTGCCTCCCAGTGAGCAGGATCTGGAGAAGGACTCTCCCTCCTCGCCTCCCCGGCCTATTCTGTGTCCCAGCTCTTTCACTCCCTGCAGCCAGTTCTGCAGCCCTGAAGTGACTCCTGCCCAGTGTGCTTGACTGTCCTCAGCCTGGGTGCTGGCCCAAAAGCTGAGCTTTGTTTTGTTTCTTTCCCTGTCCTGGGCACGAGCAAGGGGCAGAGGTACAGGGGATGCACATGCTTCCCCTGTCAGCCCACAGGGGACAGCCACCCGGATGATGATAGCTAACAGCTTCTGCAGCACCCCTGCACCTATCGAGTGCAACAAATTCCTCTCTGCTTCTGGGAAGCAATACTTCATCTAAAGAGAGGAGCTTGTGGTGGGCATGGTGGCGCACCCCTGTAATCCCAGCCACTGGGAGACTGGGGTCGGAGAATTGCAAGTTCGAGGCCAGCCTCGCAACTTAGTGAGACCCTGTCTCAAAGTAAAAATGACTTGGGTGTGGCTCAGTGGTAAAGCGCCGAGGGATTCGATCCCCAGTACCCAAGTAAATAAATAAGAGGCCCAACTCATACCAGATTGTGTCAGAGGAGCCACCAATCTCCTGTTGCCCGCAGGCCCAGGGCCCTGGAAGACTGTGTCAACGCCCTGCTCCCTTCCCATTCTCCCCTCCCCCAGGATCTAGCTCAGGAGTGGAATCAGCTCTGGGGCTTGAGAAAACCGACTGCTGTTACCCCAGTGGCGGGCTGCCTGTCCTCTCATGGTGCCCACCAGGCACCAGGCACTGACTGCAGTGTCACCCTGGGCCCTCACTCCAAGGCTCTTCTGTGAAGAGGCCCCGCTCACCAGCCCTGGGGCTCCTGAAGCCCTGGAGGCAGCCCCTGCTGTGCTGCAGAGCCAGCGGCAGGCAGCAGCCCCGAGACCAGCATCCGAGTCTGAGCAGGGACCAGCTTGTGAAGGTCACGGGCACTTGTCTTGTGGTGGTGACACAGCTGTCTTGACACGTTATCTTTGCAGCCGATTGCCTCTTTTCTCCCTTTGATCTGAGAGATAATCAAGTGTCAGGAGTCTCGKGGGGGACAGCACAGGCAGCCAGTTTTCTCCATGAGAGACTCAGACCCTTGGGCTTGAGAAGCAGACCTGTCACTGACACAGAGCATGTCCAGGAAGAGGCAGGTGCCCAGTGAAGTCAACTGAGCCCTGGTGAGCCAGGCTTTTGTCCCTCTGGGGTGGCAGTGCACCTGGGCATTTCTCCTCTTGGCCTGGGAGCAGGTGATTGCCTCCTCCTGACCCCAGCCACAGTACGCAGGGGAGGAGCCGGGAACAGAGGCCACGGAATCCCCTGCAGCCACCAAGAGCACCACGTGGGCAGCCCTGTCAGGGGGAAGACCCTCGGTCTGCCTGCTGGACCTTCACAGGTCTGCTAGGAACAGGGGCTGGACCCGCGGAGGGTGTCTGTCCTCTGGGCTAAGCTCACCCTGGCAGTCTTTCTAGAAGACCCTGCAGGCAGTGGTCTCCGAAGCCCCACTTGTCTTCTCAAGTCTCTGCCAAGCTGTCTGCCCAGCTCCCTTTCTGTTTTGCCTCTGAAAAGCAGCTGCGTGGCCCATCCCCGGACAARACCCCCCCCAAGCTCACCCCTACCCCCGCTGCGCACTCCCCGCCTCTCCCCTCTCCCTAGATTAGGGACAGGCCTTTCCAAGAGCCATGGGGAGCTTGGGGTGGCAATAAGCTGGCTTGGCTTCCAGGAGACCAAGGGGAGAATGGGTACCAGAGGGACCAGAAAGCCATGAGTGAATGTGCTGAGCCGGAAGCTTTCTCATGCTTAATTAGGAATTTGTTCTGCCATCTGTTGAAATGAGGCCAGGGGAGATCACAGGCCCCAGAGCTCTGCCGAGGAGCCGGCGGCCAGTTCCTCCGAGGCCTTTGCCCTGCCCTTCCCAGAAGTCCTCTCGCTCTGCCAAAGTAAGTCCTAAAAGAGTTAAATGCTCTTTTAAGTCCTAAAAGAGTTAAATGGCCTTTTGAAACAGCTGCTTGTCTAGGGGAAGTGAAAGAATATGGATGACAAGTGCCAAGGTCGGTTCATTCTTAATGTGCCACAATTAAGTTCTGGGGACACCAGATTGGTCAGTGTGGGATCCCTGGACTGCAAATACCTCTCAGTTCGCATGTGCAAGGAGGGTTTCGCTGTGCTGTCCCAGAAGTGAGACTTGTGCAGGCCTTAGGTGACCAGCCCCCTTGGTCCTGCAGTCTGCGCCCCACAGGCAGCCACTTCAGGTCAACCGAGGTTCCTGAGCGCGGGGCCCAGCTCCGGGGGCTGGTTTGCTGTGAGTGCTGCACTTACAGTTGTCACACTGCAGGCCTCACCTGCTTCCCTTGGTGTGGGTCAGACAGTGTCTCTCCCATCGTGCACAGCAGACCAAGCGCCCTCCGCCAGGCTCCATGTCGGGGCCGTGGTGGTGAGGACTCTCTCCATCAGCGGCTGTGAAGACAAATGGGATTGTGTAGCAGGTACTCATTAGCCCCGTGGCTGGCACCTGGTCAGCGCTCAGAGGCAAGCCACAGTGACTAGCGTCACCCTTGTCATCTCAGCCAGCTTTCACACCTGAGAGTAGCCTCAGAGTTAATCCCCTCAGGGGCCAGTCATGGGTACAGGGACGAGACCTCAGCCTGGTCCAGAGAGAGCTGTAGCGCTTAGTAACGGAGCTGGGTGTCCACAGTGTAAGGCTTCTCCTCACTGCACCCCAGCTGTGGTCCCCTGTGCAGTGGAGAGGAGGCCTTCCCTGCACCCCAAGCCCTCGCCAGCACCCTCAGGGAAGTGCAGCCTGAGAGCAGGGAGAAGCAGGCCCTTCCCCTGCTGGGCGAGGGTTTCTCTCCAGCATCCAGCTTGCTGTCAGCAGCAGGTGGACAGGCACCCTGGAGAGGGAGCCACAGCACCAGGCTTTGTCCCCACAGGCCCAGGGACCATGGCCTTAGGGCCGGCGCCTCCAGCAGCTCGACTCACACCTGTGGTGGCCCCGCCCTGCATGCCCAGTGCTGCCCAGCAGGGAGTTCTGGGGCTGGAAGGGGCCACTGTGGCATGATTATTTCAGTCCCCTGCCTGCTTCCCCAGGCCGACRCCTCCCACAGGGGGACACAAGCAGCTGGCTCAGCTCAGGGCGTCCCACTTGGCGTTATTAAAAGTCAGATTCTTTCTAATAAAGGCTCTTGCCCTGGAATGCCGCCGCCCTGCTCAGGCCTGGGCTGTCGAGGA